ATGTCCTATATTCAAAAATTTCGGAATAATACCCCTTCGAACTTGTTACTAAAATGATATTGAGTAGCCCAACTGCTGCAATTGTTCTTAATATAAAAAGAACCGCATTTTTTATGTCTTGAAACTATTTTACATTTATATGTTAGAATTTTATATCTATATATTAGTGTTTTGATGTGTTTTTTATTATAACAATTTATCTATTTATTTTTTTAGATTCATACATTATTGTATGAAATTGTTGTATTGACCTGGTCCATATGTATGTATTTGAATAACGTAGTCAAATAAACGTTATCTATCTATCTAAAAGTACTTCAAAATATTTGGGTTATACATCGATAGCTTTTTGTTTGATTATTACAAAGAGTATTAATTCAATAGTTGAAATAATCTGACCGCGAAGCGGAAGGATTATTCTATTAAGCTGACACGATTCGTAATTGTGCAGGAAGTTTGAGATGTATAACCTGGAAGATTTTGAAGTTCGAATTGTATTCGATGCGATCATTTTCTGTATAGTCTGAACGAACGTCAAAATTTGAAGACACGCTTTGTTTGTATGTAACAATATGAATTAGTCACCATGGAAATGGAAATGATTCTATATTTCTGATTGGTGGAGCTACTCTATGTACCTATATCCACGTATATTCCAAATAATACAAAGTAGCTTTACGTTCTGATTGGTTCAGAATCATAGGAAGAAAACTCGGAAGAAAATAATCATTATTGTAAGACTCACGATCAATTTCCATAATTAGATGTTCTCATTAAAAAACAAACAACGTCTCCATAACAAGTGAATAACAACCATATATAACAAGAATTTATTACCAAACATTCCCGGCATATCTCAACAAATAAGTGATAACTGTGTTCAAGAATCAATCCTTAATCGAAGGTATTCGAAAAATGATGAACACATATCGAAGAATATAATCTATATACTCCATATCCATATTAAACATTGACAACAGACAGTTTCCGAAAAATGCCGTGTCAATTAGAAAACCCACCCTTTATATCTTCCCTCCAATGAATAAATTGGAGAATCGAGAAGATAGATCAAGTTCAATGTCAAGGGGGACACTTCAAATGCATATCTTTAGTCCTGTTTGTTCAACCCGTTAAGAAGGGGTAGATGTTACCCTTAGAACCTTATATGAAAAGGGCGTCAAGATGCACATTATTTTGAAAGGTGTTCAATTCTCTTTCCAACAGTACCATTGTTCATGATTTTCTGATGAACAGTTTCCGAAAAATGCCGTTCTGAACTTACAGAAGTAATTGGAACATGCCTGCACTGAAATGCATTAAAAATCTTCCTACCATGACTGAAAGGGTCAATACAATAAAATCAACCTGAAAACCATGCATATCAGCCGAGATATCAGTGTAGGCATGTTCTAATTCCTTCTGTAAGTTTGAAACGGCATTTTTCGGAAACTGCTTATCAGAAAATGAAAAATTAGGGTATAGATGAAGGAAGACTTGAACACCCTTCAAAATGTTGTGCATCTTGACCTCCCTTTTCATATGAGGTTCTAAGGATAACATCTTACCCTCCTAAGGGGTTGATCTAACAGGGCTAAAAATATGCATTTCAAGTGTCTTCCTCAGAAATAGAACTGTCAATTACTGGAAGGAAGTTATTATCGGGTAGGAAGTTTTCTAAGTGGCACGACGTTTTTCGGAAACTGCTCGACAGAAAATGATTAAGATAGTTTTGAAAAGAGAATTGAACGCCTTTCAAAATGTGTGCCACTTGACCTCCCTTCCCATTGGGGATTCTAAGGGTACCATCTATTCCTCCTAGGGGGTTGAACCAGTAGGTCTGAAACTAATCATTTCAAGTGTCCCCCTTGAAAATAAAATCGACCTGTTTTTTCGATTCCTCTTATACACTGCAAGGAAGATATTGATGGTGGAAAGTTTCCGAAATGTCACTCAGTGTATGGCAGAGTGGAATAAAATTGCAATCATGAAAAAAGAAGATAAACAAAAGGGAATCAAATAATCCTCTTGCATTCTTCTGAGCGCAGACCAATACAAAATACTGTGTGACTGTGATTGAGAAGTGACAATAAACCGATATCCGAAGACAATTTGTCAAGAATAATTATTTTTCCCATTTTATGTTGATATGGGGAGCAGAATCGTTCCAAAAACGTCCATAGCAAAGTGGGAGTTTGATATTTTTTCAATAAATATATCTAATGTACCTATACTTTTTGCCGAAATGGTAGTACGAATATATTGAATAGCTAGGGTTCCATAACCTTTGGAATTATTAATCTCTGTAGGGATACCCAAACAGATCATGTTTAATAATAATTGACAATGCACCAGGATCTACTGAATTTCCATAAAATAATTCTTCTTCACACGTTCTTCATTCCGTAATCACGATCCGTGACATGACGGTCGTAAATTACCAACAAGGGCGTAGATATGGGAGGGTAAAGAAGGTAAATACCTCCCAGAATCATGATAAAGAACTCAAAATCGAATCTGATTTGGAATTATGGGACAATAAGTAGAGTACATTCAATGGTGGCATGCCAGATACTGCAATCAATACCTTGTATTTGTATGCGAGCCAGATATATCATCGAGATTTCATGTGTATATTGCCAGAAGTTGAACAACAGCAGAGAGGAGTTTTTCTTCACTAAAAAGGATCATAACTTGCCTACGATCAACAATGAGCGAAAAGAGACTTGTTAGGTTAGCATTGATGCATATTCATAGATATTAACATATCTGCAGACTCTGTGTTAGATGATAATGATGATAATAATAATGATAATAATAATAATAAAAATAGTAATGGTCTTGATTGTATGTATAACAAATAAAATATGAAATAATTATCGTCTTATTAGACCAGAAAGGAGGCGAGCACAAGGCTACTCTCACACCTAACCTCCTCGTGGTTAGAATTTGACAAAACCAAAATGAAAATGGCAATGACCGAGCAAAACAAAACAAAAGGATTTGCGTTTGCATACCCAGATGCAGTTCCATACGAAGGGGCAACAATGAACAATGAATAGATACCTAATGGGGCTTTGAAATAAGGAAGTCGAATGATGTGGCATCATCGTAAGATTATCTTTATGTGTAACATTTACCGAATGAGTCCGAAATCTTGGTAGCAGCTTGATGTTCCTATTAGATATATTGTCATCGTTTCTCATCATTTTGAAGATAAAAATGGTTTTCTATTGAGCCAGTGTAACTTTCTGAGTTTATCGGAAACATGATCATAGCGACGTAAACCATATATAAATCTTACGCAGAAGTTCTGTACAAGTAACATAAAAAAATCACAATAAGTAAACTGAAGGAGAACAAGACTTTCACACAGAGTTTTACGTAACTTGAAATTCAGGCACAAACCTATTAATATCCAGGGTCCTGAGACACGTATAAGTTCTTTCCAGGACGTTATCTATGTGAATTTTGAAGCGTAAATCATTGTCAATGATCAATGATTTTTGGCAGTGTCCACTACTGTTAAAGGGGTATTATTTACTGATAAAATGAGATTGTCACGCACAAACTCGCGAATATTTTTCGGAGGAAAAATAATTATTTTTGACTTGGATGAGTTCAGCTGAAGATTATGCGAGGTACTCTTCTGATTGATAATTTCTATTTCCCTGTTCATAGCAATTAGCGCTTCACCAATGTCATCCTTAGGAAAGCCAAGTAACATCTGAGTAGCATCGGCTTACGCATGTATGTCACAGGTGTTTAATGATTTCAGAATATCTGCAGTATAAATCATGAAGAAGAGGGGTCTTAGAGTACTTTCTTGGTTCATCAGTCTACGTCGAATGCATTTGGGCTTCATTATTTTAGTAGTTTATAATCGAGTCTCTTCATAAAAAAATATTGGAACAAAAAAAGTATTCTTTTTGCTTTATCACACCCATCACGGACAAAAGTTTCGTTGCACCAACAAAATAATTTTAGTCATTTTTTTTTTCGTGAAATCAAACACAATTTTGTGAAATCAGCAAAATATATGTTCATTCCAAATGAGCAACTTATTCAAAGAGACAAAATAATTTGATTGAAATATTTGCTTCATTTGGTTCATTTCATTCAACAACATTTATAGTTGACATAAAACATATTTTGTTGATCCAAGTATTATCTCATTGTTCAATCAATCATATGCATTTTGTTTATTCGACAAAATGAAATTTATTTTGACAAAGGATTAACTAAATGCAACATCATATTTTGTTGAGTCAAGAATCATTTCATTGTCCAACCAATCAAAGGTCTTTTCTATCCGACAAAATTGAATTGATTATGACAACATTATATTTTGTTGATTCAACACATCACTATCTAGAAATATGTTTCAAACAAATTACTTCGTTGAACAGAACAAACAAATACATTATATCAAACAAATATTTTGTTGAATGATCATCTAGTTGCATTTTTGACACCAGGTTGCGTCTCTTCCAACCTTCCTACGCTTGCCTCGATTGGAGTGTACCTAAAACATCCGTTTATATAATTGCATTAGGCTGTCCTAGAATTTCTCATGACGCTTATACAAGATAATAGTCTTGAATCAACTAAGGAAATTGATCTCTGATTTCTCTTAGTTTTGAAATTCAGTTATTGGATTGTTTCAATATTATTCAGCAAAATGTTTTGTCAATTCTAAATACAATTTGGTTGATCGAAGAATATATATTGTTATTTCAACATATTCACTATCTGAAAACCTGCTGTTAATTCGAATCATTAATGAGTTACATCAGATGAATTTTGAATTGAGAGCTGACATTATCGCGGTGACAGAATATTTCGTCGTGGATATATGACACTCAGTTTTTGTTGAATTTACAAAAAGTTTGTAGTTTCAAACAATTTTTTTTCTGTCCATAGAAAAAAATTATCTACGCTCCTGATGACCAAGACTCTATAAAAACCGTGGTCGCGAGGCAATGCAAACACCATACCTCATCATGCAGTGGTTTCATCCACTAATATACCTCGCAGTTTTCCTAAGTCCCACGATCGCTGAGCACGATGGACCCAAGAAGAAATCTCCATCTTCGGGCGAGGTCGTGTACCTCATCGACAGTTTAAACGACCCCAGGAACAGCTACGATAAAGCGTCTGAAGATGGACAGCAGAGGCCGAAAGGCAGCTACTTGTTGGCCGATCCCATCCCCATTGATGAGGCTGGAGATGGGGTTTATTTCAGGCCGGAAGGCGGAAAGGCATTGGATAAACCGACGGTATGTAGTAGACTTAGTTAGTGAGTTTCACAGGGTGTTGTTATGAGCTTCCAAATAAGAAAAAAAAATCGATTTGCGGAAATAGTTATTTGTTTAACTAGGCAGCAAAGTAGTAGATTGACTGCCGAGGCTGAATTCATAGCCGAGCGTAGCGAGGCTAGGAATCCAGCTAAGGCTAAGGAAGAAGAATTTCAGCAAAGCATGAAAGAGTCTGAGTCATCACAAATTTGCAGAAAATTCCAATTGGAGCAAAGCTATGATTTCCAGATATTTATGCCTATTTTCAATTACCATATTAAATTTCATAACATCATCCTCACAATATAAGTTTTTATAAAGCATATGTTTTACTAAACGGCATTTTTCAATAATGTCTGCAATATACTCAATTGAGAAGTTGTTAAATGTTGATTGCTTGATGGTGCTTCACTCTCAATTGGTAAACACTTATTGGTACTCATAATATTGGTGTTTCCATAGCAACTGAAGGTACTCCCTCCCAAACCTTCGACAAGAAGAAAACGCACCCTCCTCCACAAAGGAGGTCTACTTGGTAGTCTCCTAGGAGGAGGCAATGGTGGTGGTTATGGAGGAGGTTTCGGCGGAGGTGGAGGTGGTGGAGGTGGTGGAGGAGGAGGTTTCGGAGGCGGAGGAGGTTTTGGAGGTGGATTCGGAGGAGGCGGTGGTAAAGGAGGAGGCCTAGGTGGAGGACTAGGAGGAGGAGGTCTTGGTGGGGGTCAGGGAGGATATGGCGCAGGAGGTCATGGCGGTAAGATGAGGATATAAGTATACTATATAGTTTGGAAGAACAAAATTTTGGAAAAAGAAAATGACATGATTTATGAGTGTGACTCACTTGGAATTGGTGGTGCCTCGGATAATTAGTTGTGTTCTATCGATCTGAAATATTCCCAGTGTCGCGACGTTGCCGCTTATATTGAAAAGTAGCAACAACAACTTCGATCTTTCAAATGGGACACCCTGTATATCATTCCATTCTCAGGTTCTCCCTGAAGAGCTGATTCTATTGACCTATGATACTTGGGGTCTAGCGGAAATAATAACGAAGAAATGGGGTGTGAAAAATCGAGATTTTTCATCTTTAAGAATCTTTTGTCTATCTCAACTTGTTATGATACTATCAATTGATATTCAATTGAAATAGATACAGGGTGGTCAAAAATCCTAATTATGAACCACCCTGTATTTATTTTGAAGTTGAAAAATCTCGATTTTTCACATCCTATAACTCTGTATTTATTACTGCTAGACCTCAAGTGTAATGGGTCAATAGAATCTGCTCTTCAAGGAGAATCTTAAAATGTAATGATATATAGGGTGTCCTGTTCGGAAAATCGAAGTTGTAGCTACTTTTCAATATGAGCGGCAACGTCGCAACGCTGAGAATATTTCAGGTCGATAGAACACAACTTATTATACAAGGCACCAACTTTTCAGAATAAGCCTGAGTTGCGTTCTCCAGAAACGTCTATAATGTGCCATCCACCGTAAATCAGCCTGTATAGTTGGGAAGAGGTTTTTGAGTCAAGATTCATAATAAACTACTCTTCATGTGTCGTAGGGACCATTACCGTTTGAACACCCATTATATTCTTTTATTATTTCCAGTTAATTTCGCAAATCTGAAAAATAACTTCGATAGTGAGACCTCCCAGAACTTATATCCTCCAAATATAAAATAAAAAGGAAGCTCCTAATTAGTTTTACTCATCACTTGAACCAAATTAATAAATCAGAGTTCCCTGTGAAATTATTTTTCAGGTTGCACCTACAGCAAAAACCCATTTTTGAGTTGTTATGATGACAATTTCTCCTCAGGTGGCCTCGGTGGAGGAGGAGGAGGCGGTAAAGGAGGAGGTTTTGGAGGAGGCGATGGCGGATATGGAGGAGGTCCTGGAGGTGGATTCGGAGGAGGTGGAGCTCCTGGAGGAGGCTTCGGAGGAGGTTTGAGTCATGGAGGAGGTGGAAGTCAAGGAGGAGGCTATGGAGGAGGTTCAAGTCATGGAGGAGGTTTAGGTCATGGAGGAGGTGGGAGTCATGGCGGAGGATATGGAGGAAGTGGAGGACCTGGAGGTAAATTTAGGCGGAAATTGCTCAAAATGTTATATATTGTCACCAATTATTATATGTAATATCTACACAGGGTGACTCGAAATTCGGGGTGAATAGACTTTTTTTCATATAAACATGTGTCCTAAAATGCACCTTCTTTGAGCTGCGGCCACTGTAAATTAGTTAATTAAAAAAATATCTCAAATTGTGACTTGAATATCGGATTGAATCTTCTCAAAGTTGGCATTCTTTGTCTGTTTAGACACTTCATTATCTTCTTGCTTCAAAAATGACGTAGATCCTGTTTTGGGGTAGTAGTTCCATGTTTGAAAAGAGAATTTAAATAGCATGATCTTGTGGGCAATGAAAATATGTAGGAATTCGGTCCATTGCATTTTTTTCATACAACTAACCGTTTGCCAGAATATCGTAATCAACGAAATAGAAGTTCACAAAGAAAAAGTCTGTTTTTAATCCCAAAAATCCGCCCTTGAAGTATTTCTATCAAAATTTGGAATCACCCTGTATATATAAAAGGAAGTCCAAAATTTGTTACACTATTTATAACCCAAGAACGGCTGAACCAAATTGGCTGAAAATTGGTAGGGAAGTAGTTTAGAACCAGGAGACTGTTATAATATACTTTTCATTCCTGTTAATTCGAGATGGCTGATTCAATATGGCGTATTTTGTGATTATGATCCTATTCTATACAGAATTGGTATCTTGGGGTTCTGGAGATCAAAGATTATGTTTTCTTCGTGAAAATTGGGAATTTCGAGATGACGGATCCAATATGGCTGATGAGTGTTGTAATTAATATTCGATTATATTACAAATTGGTATCTTGACATTTTCGGGATCGCTGATATTGATTCCTTCGTCAAAATTAGGAAATTTATGATGGCGAATCCAATATGGCGGACGAGTTTTGTATTTATGATTCGATATTACCCAAAATTGTAATATGAGGGCTTCCAGAGTCGAAGATCATGATTCTTCTGTCATAATTTGGATATTTGGGCGGAGTTTGAAAATTCGAGATAGCGGAACCAAGATGGCGGACAAGTTCTGCCTCCGATCCTATTCAAAATTATGAGGGATTTCGTGATCAGTGATTATGATTCCTTCGTCAGAATTGAGGAAGTGGGAGTTTTCGGGATCTGAAATTCTGATTCCTTCGTCAAGATTAGGAAATTCAATATGGCACATCCAGTATGGCAAAAGACTTCTGTAATTTGGATCTGATTCAATTCAAAATTTGTTTCTGGGGTTTAAAGAATCGGAGATTATGATCCTTTCGTCAAAATTGGAAAATTCAAGTGAACTGAAAAGGAGTAGGAATGAATTGTAGTTTGAAAAACTCAAGAAACACGCTTCTATAGATATAGATAAATTGAAATGAAGTAGAAATTGGAATTATTGAAAAATAGTTTGATGAATATTCAACGGAAGAAATATTTTCTAGAAATAATGTATATTCATATAGCAAAACAACGTTCGTGGGTTCAGCTAGTTATTTATATTTTGCATTCTCAGGTGGTTTTGGAGGTGGAAAAGGTGGAGGAGGCGGTTTCGGAGGAGGTGGGGGACTTGGAGGAGGAGGTTATGATGGTAATCAAGGAGGTTATGGTGGAAGCGGTGGATATGGAGGATCCTCTGGTGAATATATAATTATTAGTATTTTTCAACTGTGTCTTCAGGGCTGTGCATAATTATGTGTGGACAATGTGAAAACACCTAATTTCTGACTAATCCGGAAGTAATTATCTCTTTCTTTCTTTCTATCAAGACATCTTCTATATTTTCTGATCTACTCAGTGGCCAATGTTGATTTTTAATAGCTATCATATTGTTGTAAATATAGCACAATGAGCAGTTTTTCTTTAGGTCAACTTACATTGATGTGGAGTATGACCTGTGTTTTTTGATTGGTGGATGTGGAAATATAAGATAAAATAATAATTGATAAAGAATGTCTGATATTTGAGTTTCATTCGTGAAGTTGTCAGGACACTGATAAAAAATGTTTTATAGTATAGGTACTTTCTTCTGCTTGCTGATACTAACCTATCAAAGAATCCCTTGAAGGACGAACCTTCTCAAGAAATATTCGATTTCTTCTCGAAACTGCTTGAGGAGATTCATTGATAGGTAGTGAAGTTATTGTCAATCAGCTGAAGGTCTACGGTTTGAACACCTTTTATGGTGATTAAAAGTCAAATACCAGATATATTTATTTAATCAATATTTCATCTAATATTCCTGCAACAACCGATCAAAGACACGTCAAACTTCATATCAATGTAAGTTAGAAGAATAGCAGTCCAGAAAAATATTCACATACAGGGTTTTTACGTCAATATGATAGCTATCAAAGATTGGTCATTTGCCGCTCAGTGGACCAAAAATAATTATGAAAATCCTGAAAGATAAAGAAAGACTTCTGGTTCAGTCAGAAATCTGGTGTTTTTACACATATGCCAAACCCTGCATATTCCTTCTTCTGGAAATATTTCAAACATTAATAATTTGTAAATCACAAATAGACTATGACATATTCTCAGATAAATTGATTAAACATTATTCATCAATCATTTATCAGTATTGTTGTTATTATTTCTGGATTTTAATGATTCTTCCAGGTGGTGGTCTTGGAGGAGGTAAAGGAGGAGGTGGTGGAGGCGGATTTGGAGGAGGAGGTGGAGGAGGAGGATTAGGAGGAGGAGGTGGATTGGGAGGAGGAGGTAATAATATAATTTTATTCATTGAATATTAGGAGCTTCCTTTTTCACTACTTTCCATATTATGTACATGAAAATCAACTGATAAATAATAATTGTTTTACGATGTCAAGCGTAATTTGGATGATTCAGATACAAATATTTTCATATTGAAACAGGTTCAGGTGGATATGGAGGTGGAAGTCATGGGGGTGGAGGACATGGAGGTCATGGAGGAGGTGGTTATGGAGGTAAAAATAATTGTAGTACAGGGTGATTCACCGTAAATGTCCCCTCCTCTAGCTCACTTGTTTTGAACCGATTTGAGAACTTGAAAAATCATCTAAATTAATTTGTCAAAGACATTTTTCCGTTGCATCAGAAAATACAGGGTGCTCGGAACAAACGATCTACCGAGTACTACTTGATTCTTTCAAATGGAACACCCTGTATTTTATTGTATTTCTAGATTCTTCCTGAAGAGCTGATTTCATCAATACATCACACTTAGGGTCTAGAACAAATTTTAGAACAAAACAAATCATCCACTGTCATCTAATTGGAACATATACAGTGTGGTTTAAGATTCAGAATTCTGATCACCCTGTATCTGTTCCAATTATTAAATGTCAGTAGATTTTGACCGATAATGAATAGTTTCGTCACAAAAAAATCCTAAACTTAAAAAATTTCGATTTTGAACGCCCTATATCTTTGTAACCATTTTTGCTAGACCCCAAGTAAGATGCATTGATGAAAACAGCTCTCCAGCGAGAATCTTGAAATACAATGAAAAATAGGGTATTCCATAAAAAAATCGAATAGTACCCTGTAGATCGTTTGTTCCGAGCACCTTGTATTTGCTGATGTAGCGGAAAAAACTCTATCGAAAATCATTTTAGATGATATTCAAAATCTTGCGAACGGTTCATAAATAGAATAACTGAGCTAGAGGAGCAGGAAATTTATGGGGAGTCACCCTGTACCGGAAGATTTTAATGACAAAGTTGATTTTTTTGAGGAGAAAGTAGCTTCACCAATATGTTCAGCTAGCTCACATTTTCAGTCGAAAAGAAGTCGATACGCATATAGTTCATTGGAATTTGGTGGGAATTTCGTTGATTTTTCCAGATGGGGGCTATGAGGGAGGTCCTGGAGGGGGTAGTGGAGGTTGCAGTTCTGGAGGTTGTGGTGGCTGCAGTACTGGAAACTGTGGAGGAGGTGGCAAAGGAGGTGCTTATGCTTCGTCCTCTGCTTCAGCTCAAGCATCTGCAGGCAGCTAGTGAGTATTTTTGGTAGTAAAACATCAGATCTATTGTGATATTCGGGAAAAAATAGATGAATACAGATATCCAGGAAGATGCTTATCCATACTGGAGAGCAAACCCCAAGAAATCTACAATAATGAAGGAGCTTTTCATTGATCCGATGTTGAATTCATAAGATTGCATTAAATAGGTACATTGAATTATTCAGTGTACATGAAATGATATCATAGGATGCTGGTTTTGAAATGAAGTCCCCTACATACTTTCTTTATTACGAATATATTTTCAGATGATTACTAATTGTATTATTTATTTACAGTGGAAAGTAACAATCCTGATCGCAGTGTGAGAGGAGCAGGCATTCCTCTCAGCAGGCAGAATGAAATTCTTCAATATATACTCATCTTTCAATATGTAAATATATGAATAATATTATGAATAATTGTATGTATGTACAGGTCCCCATTATTTTTGTCAAATTTCATGCCAGAATAATTATAGAATAAATTATATTGTCGTTGACTTTTCGTGAATTTATTATATATATAATATATTCTTATTTCTGACTTACGGGAAAAATAGAGAAAAAATAGTCAGATGCAAGAATTTCCATCACGGTAGACTAGCGGAAACAACTTTAGTAAGTTCCATAACCACTCTACACAATTTGTCTGGTATGCTTATTAAACCCAGATAAGTCATTTGAAACATTCTATAAACAACTACAGAAAAACTTAAATTTCTCATACAGAAAATTGAACATAAAAAAGGAACCAACATTAAAAAATTCTCAAAGGAAATATGGTTCAATAATTATCATGTAAAATACAGAAATCTCTACCGTAAGATATTAAAATACGCGAGAGAGAAGAATCTAAACGTGAAAAGGCAGATAACCCTACGAAAGCAACCTGGTGGGTGATGAATAACCTCAGTGGTAAAACTTGCTCAAGTTCTTGCAGAACCCTATTGAATCCTGATGACACTCTCAACACTCACTTTTGCACACTGGCTGAGAATATAACTAATAAAGTGAATGCAAATCATGCTCCCCTCGGTATCATGCACTCTGTTGAATTGAATGATGAATTCCAATTGAGAGATACCAACATCAGTAATTCATAGTATGAAGAAAAAAAAAATGAATCAGGAGCCGATGAAATTTCAGCGAACTCTTTCCAAAACCTTCCTGATTCAGCATAAGCGGTTCTTGTAATGCTCATAAATGAATCATTCCGAAGTGGTGATTTTCCGGCTTTCCTTAAACAATCTTTAGTGATTCCTATTCATAAGGGTGGGGATTCATCAGATCCAAACAAATACCGACCCATTGCTCTTATACCAACGTTAGCGAAAATAAATAAAAAACTAGTTGAAATCAGAGTACTACTTGAGAAGAAATAATATATTGACAGACCAACAATTCGCATTTCAGCCAAAGAAGAACACGAATGGCTCCAACAAAGGGGCAGCAGCTGCGGCAGTATTTTTGGATTTCTCCAAAGCTTTTGACTGCGTGAATCATGAAATATTGCTGCGGAAGCTGCAGCGATATGGTTTCATGACTAAAAGTCTGCACTGGTTCGAGATTCATCTAATCAATCGACAACAATCAGATAAAACTAGCAGCGTCTCAAAGGCCTCAATCATAAAGAATGGAATGCCACAAGGCTCAGTCCTTGGACCCATCCTTTTCCTTCTCTACGTGAAAGATATGGCTACTCTAAATGAACGGTACAATCACATTATTTGCTGATGACACAACCATCCTTTGGCAAGAGGAGAAAAGCTCTATAGTAGAATAAAATATAATACAGGATATAAAGATAATCAGACATTGGTGTGATATTTATTTTCACTTTATCAACAAGTGTGTTAGTACCTATGACAATAAGGCATATTATGAACTGAATTGAATTGAATTGAATAAACATGTCGTACATGGGCAGTGATGGACTCTGACTGAACAATGGAAATTTATAAAAATCCCTATATCCAATTCGAAAATTTTCAGAATTTCACTGGTTTTTCCTGATTACTCAATGAAAAATTGTTGGAGTGAATTGTGGAGTAGCTACGTTCTTATCAGATTTTGTTCAACCTTGTACCTACCCCTCAAGGAAACTGTCAATATCTATTCAATGATCTGGAATCATTCCGAGTGAAACGGTTGTTTACCTAACATGAGCGGAAAGTAGTGATATTCCTCGGGCAAGCCGTCAAGAGTGGAAAAGACATTTTCCGTAAGCGTTGGGTACAATGTATTTCCTACGAGTTTTTCTGTCCATATTATTAGTTATGAAAAACGAAGGTTCTCAATAAACGATATTTTATAATAAGCTGAAAAATGACACATAAAACAGAATAGTTACATAGATCATTAAGTTAGTTGTAGATATCTTGATTCTCAACATTACCAAAATCGCGCGGAAAAGTAACTTTTCAGCACTAGTGCGGTGGAGAAACATTTCCGCACAATCTCATCAAAAATTTCACATCACTCAACATTTTCGACCAATCGAAGGCCTGTATTTTGTATCACTACCATAGCAACTGAACAAATTTATGGATATGTTTTCCTTCTCCTAGGTGGAAGGAGCATGAAAATAAACTCGAATATTTTCGACATTTATAGGTGAACTTCACATTCAACTCCAGATTAAGTCGAATTCATTCTGTTGATGAGTTTCTTGTAAGAAAATATATTTCCATCAACTTAACCTGAATGAATCTGTAAAGAACTGAGATATTGAGCTATCATCGACTCATTTCTTATAATTTCATTTAACTAAAGTCATTTAATCACATTTTAATCAACATAATCAACCTACTAACATTACGTGCGCCAGTTTCATCATTATACTAAATAGTATTTCGAGTTTCCTGTGAGAGAATATATATCTACCAACTTTAGTAAAATGAATTTGTGAAAGACTGAGAAATTGAGCTACTATCGACCCAATTTTTAGCTATCACATATTGATGAAAATATATTCATTCAGTCACACTCATGCAATGATTATCATACAGTGTGACCCACTTCAAATGGAACCACCCCTGTATCTTACGTAATCGTAGGGTAAGGATCCTGAAATTTGCTGGAGCGAGAGATATACCAAAAATGCACTCTATGACCAAGTGATGCCATCTTCAGTGATATACACTGCTCGCCAACAGCCATGAAACTACCCCAATTTCCGGAAAATGATATTAGGAGTCAAAATCACTTCAGATTTGGAATCTGGACGCCCAATTTACTAACTATTCAAATTTTTCCTAGAGAATTTTCAGTTCGGAAAAATGAAATTTACTCGCATTTTTTATGGAAGCACCCCCGTATCTCACGTAATTGACTTTATCTTTGGACTTTCTCTTCCTCCGGCAAATTTCAGAACCCTACCTCAATAATTACGTGAGATACGGGGGTGCTTCCATTAAAAATGCGACAAAATTTCATTTTTCTGAACTGAAAATTTCCTAGGAAAACTTTGAATAGTTAGTAACTTGGGCGTCCTGATTCCGAATCCGACGTGATTTTCAACCTATTTTGACTCCTAATATCATTTTCCGGAAATTGGGATGGTTTCATGGTTGTTGGCGAGCAGTGTATATCACTAAAGATGACCCCACTTGATCATAGAGTGCATGATTGGTATATCCCTCGCTCCAGCAAATGTTAGGATCCTTACCCAACGATTACGTGAGATACAGGGGTGGTTCCATCAGAAGTGGGTCACACTGTACATATGATGAATTCTCATTTCTTTTTCAATAACTTACTACAAACTAGATTAAATCTAAATCAGACCTAACAGGTCTTTGTGAAGCATCATTAGTCGAATTCCGCGACACCCTGTATAATTCTAAGGAACTGAGTGGGCTATGCTCAGAAGGACATTCTTCAGTTAGATGATTCCGGGTAAATGATTTGCTATCCAATAAACCCCGTTAGAAAAAATATCAGGAACTGGCAATTCTTTGAACTGAATCCAATCCAATATATGTTCATTCTGAAAACAATGATCTTTTCCTAATCATTAATTATCCTACACACCATATAAATCAGTTGATTAACGATATGCATGAAATTATTAATTAATTCGTGACTTCACATACAGTGTGTCTCAATTTATTGATATATGGAAGAGACCTGTGAAGAAGTACCAACAGTAATTGAAGACTAAAATAAGTCTATAGAGATCGATATTTATATTTCATGTCCTCTATCCATATTGAAGAATCTTTTGATTCTCGATAATACATAATGAAAATCATTTATGGAATAATCTGTGATTGAAAGATCTGAGTATTTATGGTCTCCATTATATATCACGATAATACTCCGTAATATCAAAATAGTTCCTAGTTTTTCAATGTATATACAGTCAATATCTCGAAAACTTATCAAGATATTGAAAACTTCGAAACAAATTCTCGAATCAGATGCTCTTCACTTTTGGGTGGAACCCTGTACATGGCATTTAAGCATCCCATATATATGGGTAGTATGAAATCTTTTTCGTCTGGAAGGAACACCCGATATTCCCTTAGATATCTTGAGAGCTTGATTTGTTTATCACCTCAAAAGTATATATTGTATGCACTTCAGGGATTTAAAGGGTACCTTTATAAACTATTTTCGGTAGGAAAAATGGTACTCTGAATCCCTAGGGTTTGAAGAGAATTTCTTCGCAATAGAAGCCAAATTTAGAAATGTATTTTCAAAATGTCTGTTGCAATTGTGGCTGTTATCATCAAATATACGCTCCACAATGACGATGCTTTGAGCTTTTTTGACTTTTCCAAGAAAAATGCTAGCATTATCTTTCCTTCTGTACATTTTTGTACGTTCCGATCTTCGTCCCATTTGATAAACTCAGATAACTATTTTTCATATTGTTCTCCAGATTTTCTTGGTAATAATTGGCCTTCAGCTTCTTGCGCTGCCTTTTCGACTTGTTCCATTGCGATCAACGTATTTCAATCGGTGTGGCGTTTGACTAAAATTCTTGATTATATACTAATATTTATTTATCAATTTATGTTTTACTTATATACTTATCATAATGACCAAGATTTTCAGTTGCCGATGACAATCATGATCTGGATTACTATATTTACTGAGGTCGTTGATATGATAACGATCAGCTCCTGCTTCGATGATGTTTTAGAAATAGAGTAACTACCGTTAAGTGGCATTGACATTTTTTGTTCGTTATTTTTCTCCAACGTTCTACTCATATCCTGAAGTGCATAAAATAGTATATACACCTCAGCACTTGTGTTCTCGAATTCCTCGACAAATTATAGCCCTCCTGTTGGTCGGGCTATAAACAGTTTATGTAGAGATTTAAAATACCACTTCATTCCCTAGGTTTATAATGTACTATTCATACTTTACATGTAGTAATTCAGAGTAGATCTGAGGAATAAATCTCGAAATCTATTGAATTATTTTGGTCATGGAATTTTCCCAATTAAATCCATATTCAGCAGAAAACAGGAGATCGTCGACAAAGCTTCAATTAATTTCAAGTTTCACACCTTCGATTGCCTGCAGAATCATTCTATAGGATGCATCCAAATTAGGATATATTTTTGAAATCAGAAAAGTGCAAAATAAAACATTTTCACACCCCCCGTATATCAATTAGAGAGGGCACCATTCGAAAGATAACAGCATCATCTGTTAAACAGGAAAACAATCTGTATATATTGCAAACCCTATTTCAAATTGAAAAAAGTGTGGTACGTGAACACCCCTGGAAAATCATTTTCAATACCTGGTGAGTACTTCGAAAAATCACTATAGTAACGTAACCGAATGCGACCTTTTGATTTCTTCTGCTTTCAAATATTCCGGATCCTGGATTAGTATGATACAAATTTTATCTCCAGTTTGATTTGATCCACTCTATAAAACTGATATTCCAGTCGTGACCACGAATCTATTGAAAAAAAGGTCTTGTAATACCTATAAAAACTATTGTGAAGATCCAGATAAACATAACCAATCATGAAGTGGTCAACACCGCTTGTAGCTCTTGTGCTAGCGACCTTAGCTGTCAATCAAACTGTTTTCGCCGGCAATTATTTGCTTGATGAAGATCTGAAGGTGAGGATAATAGCTTTTGTTAATTCAAGACCATCAGTCAGTGATGAATTATCATTTGCAACTATAATTCCGGAAATTTTATTTTAATAGATTTAATGAATTTGTTTTTTTTTTCAATTTTCTTTGAGTATATCTCCTCGTCTCTGTAAATAAAATTATCAGTATCAGTGTGCAAAAACATTACATATGAATCCAATATTTTATTTTTCCAAAATTTCGGATAGTTTCAACATAGTCAATGGTTTCAAATAGGAGATACTGCGGTTCTCATCATACGGCCAAGCAAAGTAAACACACTTTTAGGTGAATGAAATATTCCTCGACAGTCCAGACAGCTAAAGAAATATCAGCCAATCAAATCAACAAACGGAAAAAAAGGGTTAGTTGAATCAAGCAAAATTCATTTGAAAGCAGCAAATATAAGTGTCATTATTATATACACGACAAAATATAATCTTGAAATGAGTAAATCTATATCTTGTTTCAGAGCAAATTTGAAGTATGAATCAAGTGAATATGTCTTGCATGAACTCTGGATCCTATTCAATCAAGCACATTCATGAATTGTTCATGAAGAGATATTGAATTGGCTCAAACAATCATTTCGTTTCATTAAATATAGCAAGATATTTAGTTTATTCAATGAAATTCTTGTTTGATTCAAATGAATATTTGGTTGATTCAATTAAATATTTTGTTGATCCAATGAAATATTTTGTCAATTCAGGAGAAACTGTATTTCCATTCGACAAATTGTCTTGTTGAATCAAATTCAGTATTGTATCGGGAATTTTTCTGAGATCTCATATTAATAGTATAAACTAAACTAGGAAACTAGTCGAATTCTAGCATAGATCTCCAGTCTTTACTTCTCCTCAGCAGATGCGAAATTATTTCGGCTTGGTAAACATCCTGAATTCGATTTACATTTCAAACATTTCCCAGGCAGGCATAGACGAGGCGAAAAGATCGCCATCTAGAGGCGGAAATTTAACTTGATGTAGAAAGAACGAAATATTTCGTTAGAAACGAGTTCATTGCGACATCGGAATAAGGAAACTTGTATGTTGTTTCAGAGATGAATATTTTCATCAAAATGTTCATTATTTCAAACAGCTTTTGGTGTTTTCGATGATGTTACCATAGATATCAAAGTCAGTTTGACATAATAATAATAGCATTAATTGTAAATGTCAGAATGAATCGCTTTATATCTTCGCATGATTCTGTCTCTCAAAGCACAGCAAACCACTCGTCCTGACTCAGTAACACAATTTTTTGAACAACAATGCGACAGAATAATCTGGAATATTTAGAACATCGTGTGATATTAGTGTTGATGACAATATTCAATATGGCATCGAGAAAAAATGTCTCACCAAACGTCGCTCAAACATTGAAATATGCCACATATTTCTTTGAAAACAAGCTTTCGATAAAGCTGAAAATCCCTATAAAATTTTGAATGTTCCTTCAACTTCATGTTCGAATATCTAATAAATGTAAACTAATGATTGTTGGAACCTCAAACACCGTGACATTTTTAGTGAATCAAAATATCTCAGCTGTAATTAGAGGAAATTCATTATTATCTCTCAAGATCGTCATAAGATGAGTCTATTGATGAAAGTCTCAGAAGATGGAAAAAAAACATACAATTATACAAATACCATGAATCAAACTTGAGATAATGCAGATGGAATTTAATGACACAATTCTATCTTCAAATCGGGAGAACCATTGATTCTTCTAAATGTCAGTGAATTCCAAATTAGTAGACCATGAAGAATTCTATGATTGACATATTACTAGTTTCGGCGTCGCTCATCATCAGGCACAAGAGAAAGATGAGAGAAATTGCATCTAAAATGGATCCACAGATTGACTTCACACCGTGATGAATATGGAAATAAATTATGTAAAGCAACACTGAACATTGCTCCAAATCATTTATCAATCACGTTTTGCCCATTATGTCATCTGCTGATGATGGGCTCATCATAAGTCCGAAACATATGTCCCCATTTGCAACATAACTTTGTTCACCTATTAAATGTCGTGGAGATGATTTTGAGATTTATTCATCCTTCAAACACCACCCACCACTTCACTTTGAGCAATATGGACTTCTTCACACGTATAATATATATAATATCTTCTCAATATAGATTCGTCCTTTTGCCTCTCACAGAAGAAAATTGATAATCATATACGGGGAAAATATTAACTTTTAGCCCACAATGATAAACCTGGAGCCAAAATCTACGGCTTTTGTCCCTTGTATATAATGAATAATTTTTATCAGATCCACGTTATTCACTATACTAACATGGAATTACCAATTCACACACATTATAATAGTTTTCTCGCCATTCGATGGAAGGTAATTTACATACATTTCCATTCATATTGAGCTATTAGGTATGTAGCTACTAATTATCATGTCCTGTTCATAATAATAGACATTGCAATGATCGGATTTATATTATCAATAATGTGGGAGTAACTCTTGATGATTTGATCATTAGCATAATCAATATAATTCCTGAAACACATGCTTATTCAAAAATTCACTTTTCAGAGAAATTGAGATGATGAAAATTGGTTGACCGTGATAATGTTTATGGTTAATTTCAAAATATAATTATTATAAAATTGATGAAGGGTTCCCTTTATTCATTTATCAATTCATTATTGAGCTAATCAGAGTGATTTCATCATGTAGCCATTGAATATGTACAGGGAGAAAAGGTATAACTCAAATAAGTTGAGTTTTTAGTAAATTTTCAAAATGAGTCCATCGATGGAAAATCACAAGTTAGTCTGGACTACCAGCTAACTGGTCCAGGAATTTGGTACTCTTATTTTTTAAATCGTCTCTTGAACTATAATAGATACGGGAGGTGTGGGTTTGATGGCACCCTTTTTATTATCATTTGCTCTGTTCATTTGTGTCCTTGGTGATGCCTAGAGCAAGCGGGTCAAATCAGATCAATAACTCAGCATCGAATATTCTTGGGTTGATAATCAATTATGCAAATTCGGGCATCAAAGGTCCATCAATTCTTATGATGAATTTTTTTCCACCCTACAGGAAAACAATAAGATAATGCATGATTTCCAAAATAATTGATTTCCTCCTCCTTTCAATACATAATGATTAGCATTCGTTTTTAAAACATAATATCCTCAATCATCACGTCTAAAACGATATCAATTGGTGGAACTCCTGTCATTTCGGAAATTCTTGTAGTTTTCAACCGAATATTTTTTTGTAGGTTATGGTAATCAACTTAATTGATCTGCTGCACTTGCTCGACCATTTTTGGCTAAGTAGATTCAGCTTGATCTATTTGCTTTACAGCATTTTGCTCTACACAAACGAACACATTCAGATCAAATGGTCGACACAAATGAACATAGCATTTCTGATAGACGTGCTCTAAGCATATCTAGCAACACAAACGAGGATACCTCGTAGTTATCAGGATCTTGAATAACTTGAATTAATTTTATGAATGAATACGACGGCTATCAACGACCGTGGAAAGTATTATCCAAATGTTCGAAACTTATCTGGAGTGATGTTGTTGAAATACAATATTCATATTGATGTGTTTGTATTCAGGCAACTATCAAATGTCTCGCCATTTTGTTGTAGGTGAAGATATCGACTTTATGTTCTTGGGTTGTGAAGTATTCGTCAGGAGCTTCAAAAAGATGTATCAAAGACCCTCTTTTCCATTTAATTTTTTCCCCAGATGACGTCGAGTCGCCATCTCGAAATTTTGTCTGTCAATTTTACTCCAAAATAAAGTATTCATGCATCAATTTCATCATCCCAAGTTTCAATTCTTTTGGTGGACCTGTTCAAAAAATAAAAGGGGGAGGCATTGAAGAAGAGCACTGTATAATAGACAACATCGTAAAGTATTCAGTATTTTGTCTCTGAATCTATACAAATAGCTGACAAAACTTTCTATGCCATTTTCCACAGATACCCCTGTCACTAACTGTAGTCAGATATCGCAGACATAGCTCACCCTATGGACATCAAGATCACCCCTCTGGAGGTATCCTAGGGAAACTCTTTGGAGGAGGTGGTGGAATCGGAGGAGGTTTCGGTGGCGGGGGAGGTGGTGGAGGAGGGGGAGGAGGTGGCTTTGGAGGAGGTTTCGGAGGAGGCAGCGGAGGCGGATTCGGTTTTGGAGGCGGTGGAGGAAAGTCCGGTGGAGGAGGCGGGGGAGGTGGGGGAGGATTTGGAGGAGGCATCGGAGGTGGAGGAGTGGGAGGAAGTGGGCTCGGAGGGAGCAGTGGAGGGGGATCAGGCTTTGGCAATGGTCTTGGAGGTGAGTGGGATTTAGAATATGAATCTACCTGAAATAATGACATTCGCATACTTGAAGAATTCCATGAAACAGTTTTTTTTCGACGATTTTTCTTTTTGAAAGTTGTACTCTTCCGTACGATTTTACTTTTCTGCACCATTTTCACTAGATCTAGCCGGATATTTTTGTGGTCGTTTTCGTATACTTACTTCCAGTGGCAATTTAAGGAGAGCTGTTCTGGAAAAATCACGAGATCGTACATTGTTTTCACCACGTATTCTTCATAATCTTCCCCATCCTGTTTTTCATAAATAGACAGATAGATGGAAATAGATAGATTTATTGTGTAATAAGAATCACAATAATTCTTAACCTGTAATGAATGAATACATCAGAACTGATAGCTAAATCGAAAACGAAAATCCTTTCTGCGTGACCTTAAATATACCAATGAAGACATCGCTTCATAGGCAAATTACCCATCCACAACAAAATATCTGAGCTTTAACTAATTGATCAGAACTTGTACTAGAAACTTCAAATCAGCTAGGCCACCATAATTTAGAAGATATATTAAATCACCTAGAGATTCAATGTTTTGAAATAAACGACAGTTCCTGGTACCAGCATAAACTGGACATTCAAAAACAATAACAATTTTCAAATGGAGTGAATTGGTTTCTGTACAATCGTCTTCAAAGAGCATCTGGCAATCAAACAATATTGATGGAATCACAAATTCGCAGATCACATCAGGGTTCAAATTCAGTTCTTTGTTACCCTGAACATGGACATAAAATATCTAAGTACAAAATTTTAATGTAATATTGAGAAATTGGTGAACATGAACTTTCAATAATGCGCACTCATAGCAGTCTACTATTTGATCTATTGGTATTCGGTAATCTCTTGTAAACGGGATGTTGATGATGAATAATATGGACTTAATTGATACGAAGTTGGTGACAATAGGATAAATTGACTAGCAGAACTATCACACGATTATCAAGCATCATCGAATTCAGCAAATGGGAGTCAATCATCAACACATCATGTACTTCAGTGACATTTCAATTTTCATCAATGGGGTTGTACACTCTAGTCGTATTTACGCTACATACCTATTTTATATTGATCATTCCGTGTATGAATGGTATTTGATACAAGCATTCGTTATTCAAGATCATCACAAATATGTTTTTCTGCAACCGACACAAAAGTCGTCCATTTTGATACCAAAATTAGCTCTTAAATTGACGTTTCTATTACTGACACAAGAATAGGTATGTTGCTAGGCAACATATTTAGTTCCTTGGAGCTAAAGTTGAACTTTAGTTCCTAGGAGTTAAAATTGAACTTTAGCTCCTAGGAACTAAATAGGATCTACTGGACTGGAGTATTGTTGTTTTGATCAGGGCAGCCTTCAAGATTCAAATACTTGATTGATCTGTATTTCATTCGTTATTCTCGGGATGAATTACTTGTTTTTGAATAATCACGGCAAGCAATAGTTTTTTTTGTCTCAAACAACGATATTGTTTAGCTCCATTTGATCATCAAGTCACACACAGTGTAGTATGGAGAGGAATAAATAATCACTATTATCATTGTTGATATGATCATTAACCTAACATTTTCCACGTCTTGTTCCTATAGCTGGCACTGGCGCGGTATTTGCCATTAGAGCACCTGGTCCATACACGAATAATATGTCACTCTGTGGTTGTATTTATATTGAAACTAAAATATTCGAACATCCTAGAAAACCTAACCTGCTGTTAATGCAGGTAGAATATTCTCACAATATGGATTATTTGTCAATATTTGTTGCATTGCATACATATGGCACGGCATTGGTGGTTACTTCACATGTTTATTTGAGTTAATTGTTTCGGTTGCAGAAAAAATAGCATGTTTCATTCGGATCAAAAGTGACTTTGTTCGACTCGCAAATTTTGCTTTCGCTCGGCTTCGCTAAACGTTCCGCCTCGCAAATGCAAAATTCGCTTGTCAAACAAAGTGTCACTTTTGATCCTAATAAAATAATCAACTATTTTTTCAATAATTAAATTCTGCGACTACGAAAAACGCCAGGTTCTATGACGTCATTAACCGAATTCTGGCTTTCGCATAAAAAGTAGGATCACATATTTTGATGCTACCAGATTTGTAACAAGAAATTACCTTATGAGATTCAATATGACCAATGACAATAGTATTCACATTCACAGAAGACAATAGTTCAACCTGATCTCTAAAAATTTATTGAATACTTATATATACTTGCAAGGTGTTTCAGTACCAATGAAAATATCCTAGGATTTCTATTAATGATCGAAATTTTATTTTATCTCAAATTAGTTCGTGGCCCCAGAAACACAAAAAAAGTAGAAGAAGACAAATTATATTGTCGACCTAACTTCCCGACGTTAATATCGACTGTCACCTTCATCATCGTCAAATCCTTGTTTCATATAGTCAAGATGCGAATATTCAAAGATAATCCTCATATTACCTGAGTATCTAGTTGTGTGTTGTGTTGTCTATTATCTGCAGTAAGTATTCAATTAACAAAATTCATTCCATATTCTGATTGAAATGGAACGGAAATATTCTTGCACTGAGAAATAGTGTATTGATACGTAAGTCGAATCTTCTATGGTGTTCTCGGATGATTACTTCACGCGATTTCCCGCATTTTTCATGTTACGAAATATGGTTAATTCCATTGATTATTTAAAAAAACAGTTAGCGACAGTGATCTAGTTAGGGTTAGTATTTCGAAATAATGAAATAAGATTGTTCAGTGAAACAAGCCAATTATGATGAGTTTGATCTTACCAAGAAACCAAGAACATAGCAACTTCAGTAACACAGAAATGCCATTATGATATAGATATTTCTCGGAATTTAAAAAAAAACAAATTTTGGACTATTTCATCATAGAAAAAGAGAGAGAATTGCTCGAAATGAAGATATTGATCAAGAAACTAACTGTATATATGATGAGATCAGGATGATTGGAGGAATCCAAATCTATCGATATATACAGGGCATTTCATTCGAAAATATATTCATATATGTATATCCTGTATATTCGAGGAGATATGGCATCATTGTCAATATAAGTGAAATCTGTGCGAAAAATTGTATGAAATCAGTTTCAAAATTTTTTGAATGGGTGGACAAGACATTATTGAAACTAGCCCTGTACATACATACAACAGTTTCTGTAAAGTAATTATTATCGAAGTGAATATTTCTATTTTCCTAGGTGGTGGAGGAACTGGAATCGGAGGTAAAGAAAGTGGTAATTCAGTAGGAGGAGGCAGCTCTGGGAGCATTGTGAAAAGTGGAACTGAAGGTGAGTAATAACTCTCTCAAAATAACCCTTCAACAAAAAATACTGTGCCTATATTGTTTCAAGGAGGCTATGGAATGAAGGGGTCAGGTTCAGGAGTAGGAGATGGAGGATTCGCTACTGGAGGTAAAGTTAAATGAATAGTCAGTCGTGTATATCCAACTGACGATGGTTTATCTAATTATTTCGACAAGTTCAATCAATTTCTTGAAGAAAGATGAAACTGAATCACCCTGTATAGACGATTGCTCCCTCCATGATTTTTCAACAATCGGTTGAAACAGTGTAATGTTTCCCCTACATATTGAATTGTATATGAAGTAGGTAAACTTATCTCAATTACTTGTTCGACAGATGTTGAAGTGACTGGAGGTAATAAAGGACATGGCCATGGTAATGGAGGTGGTTTCAATGGAGGAGGTAATGGAGAAGGTGCTGGATCAGGAGCAGGTATTGGGGGTGGTTTCGGTAGAGGTCAAGGACATGGAGGTGGAAGTGGTAAGAGAATATTTTTTGGCAATTTTTCGAGCTCTCGATGATTATTTCCAATATGAATCAGGAGGTGATAAAAGCCACGGTAGTGGAGGTGCCATTGGGGGAAGTAGTGAAGGATATGGTGGCACTGCTTCAGGACATACCAGTGGTAGTGGTACTGGAGGTGGTATCGGTGGTGGTTCTCAAGGACAAAAGGGATATGGAGGAGATGGTTCTGGATTAGGACAAGGTTCTGGAGGCTATGCTACTGGAGGTGAGATCTAATCAATTTCATGATGTTATCAGTAGTATATCTCATCAATTTCCTCTATAACTATAGATGTCAATGTAATCGGAGGAGGCAAATTACATAGTTCTGGTAGTGGTTTCGGAGGTGGTACTAGTTCAGGATTTGAGGGAGGTAAAGGAGCAGGATATGGTGGTACCAATGGTGCTGGTACTGGAGGGTATGGTGGTAGTGCTTCAGGGCAAGCCAGTGGTGGTGGTACTGGCGGCAAATTTGAAGAATATGGTGGAGGTTTCCAAGGAGGCAAAGGACATGGAGGTGCAGGTTCTGGATCAGGTCATGGCTCTGGAGGCTATGCTACTGGAGGTACAATATAATCAATTCCATAGGTTGATCAGTATATCTCATAGGTTTTCTTCATTATCATAGATGTCAATGTAATCGGAGGTAGCAAGTCACATGACTCCGTTAGTGGTTTGGGAGATGGTAAAGGGACAGGATATGGAGGTGGCAATGGAGGATTCAGTGGAGGATATGGTGGTAGTGCTTCAGGACATGCCAGCAGTAGTGGTACTGGCGGCGGAATTGGAGGATATGGTGGAGGTTCCCAAGGAGGCAAAGGACATGGAGGTGGAGGTTCTGGATCAGGGCATGGCTCTGGAGACTATGCTACTGGAGGTACATACAACCTTATCAATTCTATAAGTTGATCTGTATATCTCAAGAGATTTCTCCATTATCATAATATACTAAGTCACATGGCTCTGGTAGTGATTTGGGAGATGGTAAAGGGACAGGATATGAAGGTGGCAATGAAGCTGGAATCGGAGTTGGTGGAGGATACTGGAGATGATCACTTGATAAATTTCTGAGTTACCAATCATCAAAAATAGTTGACTTCAAATTACCATTAAGGATGGGTAATTGCCTTATCGAAGAAAATGTTCTCTCGCCATAGCTTCTTGGGTTTTCATAAGAAATATCTTCTCATATCCTCAACTTCATCACTCTAAATATCAGTGATGGTATCTTTTTTTGCTGTCCTAATCTAAAACTAATTGTATCTTCCTCAGTCGAAGCAGTGAATCAGCATTTTTTCTTCCCTACAGATGTTAATATAATCGGAGGTGGTAAAACACATGGTTCTGGTAGTGGTAGTGGCTTCGGAGGAGGCCATGGTAGTGGCTTCGGAGGAGGCCATGGTAATGGGTTTGGAGGAGGTAATGGTGCAGGAATTGGAGGAGGTAAAGGATACGCAGATGTCGGAAGTGGACCTGTATCTGGACCAAGTGATGGTGGCTTTGCTACTGGGGGTAAGAAACTAATTTCGTCTCATGTAATGTATGCAACTGAATCATGTGTTTGATCTCACAGAGGTCCATATAGGAGGTGGAAAAAACACCGGCAGTGATAATGGAGGTGGCAGTGAAGGTTGGGTTGGAGATGAAATTCATTGAATGCATTGTGATTTCGCATTTCCTTTGTTCAGGTCATGGAGGAGGATTCGATCAAGGTCATGGGGTAGGACAAGGTCATGGTAATGGAGGAGGACAGGGTCATGGAGGAGGTATGGGAAGTGGATTAGGAGGCGGGTCAGGAGGGGGTGAAGGTTCTGGATCAGGGAAAGGCTCTGGAGGCTATGCTACTGGAGGTACAATCTAATATCACAGATGGCAATGTAATAGGGGGTAGCAAGTTACCGTAGTGGTTTGGGAGGTGGTGAAGGGACAGGATATGGATGAATTTCTGAGTTACCATTCAAAAAGAATAGTTGACTTCGAAGAACTATGGAAGTTATTAAATAATGTTCTTCCAGAGTTGTCGATTTGGGTTTGGTAGTTTTTTTATCGAAGACAGTTTTTCGTTACTAGATCTTTCATCGTTTACATAAGAGAAATTTTTACATATTCTCATCTTCAGCACCCCCAATATCAGTAACTATACAGTGTCATTCATAAATTTGGCATCATATGGGAAAAGCTTCTAATGATAATTCATTCCGAAATTCGACTTGGGCGTTGAATTTTGCTTCAAGAAAGATGGAAAACTGCCTACTCGGTCGGAGTCACATGACTTTCGCTACAAGTCCAAAATTACTTTTTTTTTAAATCAATCGATGAAAATTGACTTATTTGTTCGAATTTCGAAAAGGATTACTGATAAAAGTTATTTCTCGTCCAACTTCACACATGTATCTCGAATATGAACGGTCTATTGCAACTTTTGGTTCCTATTTTTTTCAACAACCGTCAAAAAAAGACATGGTTCGCGCATTGATAACAATATATGTAAAACGATGTGCGAAGTAGATACTTCGTGCACTGTTGTAAACTCATATAAGATTTTTTATCTAACGTTTATGGTAATCAATCGAGCAAACATCCAAAAAATCATTTATTTCTGAACGTTCAACAATAGTTAAGGCTTCAAGCCAGTTCAACACTATTTTTTATAAGTCATGAAAACCATCCATCCTTCTATAAGTGGTTCAATTGTTTCAAACAAAAACAAAAAAATACACCAAGTCAGTCGACCACAAAAAAATAATATTACACAAAATGTATTGTATAATAATATGTAATTTTTCGTGGTCGACCGACTTGGTGTATTTCTATTTTCTGTGTTCTTCTTCGGACAATTTTTTATATTATGCTGAGCATATTACTACTTTCGGACAATATTACTTGACGTCTGTAGAAGAAATTTTGTTTGCAACTCGTGCGCGAAAGGTTGCACTTTGTTAAAAAATCAGTTCTCAATCACCAAGTGGCATTTCGTGCACTAAATAAAAAATAAAGTATCAATTTCTTCTAATTGTTACTTCGCCAAAACTGTCCCAAACTTTGGTTGAATACGTGAATGGCATCATTTTAGTATTGAAAAAATCAATTCAAGTGAATTTCGCTCCTGAATGATAGACGATACATGAACTCCGCATCATACAACAGTTTGAAGCGGGGATTATTATTTACTGAAGAAAATCATGTATGTGTTCACAATCAGGGATTGAGAGATAGTAGCATGATGAATTTACTAGAATTGAGTACATTTGTAGGTGTTATTTTTTTTACTACAGACTTTTCGTAGACATCGAAAAAATATTGAAAACTTGAAATTGTTATAGAACGTTCAGATTCGAGACTCATGTGTAAAATTATGGAATTCAAACATGTAAGCCTATTTTAAGCGATCAATTTAAAAAAAAATACTTTTGACGTAGCGGAAGTCACGCTTGCCAACCGAGTAGTCCATTCTCTATATTTTTCAAAGCAAAAATTGACGCCTAAGTTGGATTTCGAAATGAATTGTTATTGGAAGTTCATATATTTATCGCGATATTTCTCTTCTGCTGTCCTATACTGAAACTAAATGCATCTTCCTCAGTCGAAGCAGTGAACCTAATCATTTTTTCATCCTCACAGATGTCAATATAATCGGAGGTGGTAAAACGCATGGTTCTGGTAGTGGTAGTGGCTTCGGAGGAGGCCACGGTAGTGGCTTTGGAGAAGGTAATGGTGCAGGAATCGGAGGAGGTAAAGGATACGGAGATGTCGGAAATGGACCTGCATCAGGACCAAGTGATGGGGGCTTTGCAACTGGGGGTGAGGAACTAATTTCGTCTCTTTAATACGTGCAACTGAATAATTTGTTTGTTGACCTACTGTAGAAGTCCATGTTGTCACAAAGTGGAGTGAAGTATTTCATATAGTAATAATACTCCAAGTCGTCTCCACAACATTCAATATCATCAATCATCAAATCATAAATAGAAAGGGGACGTGTTTTCGATCTATAGAGTATCCATCATCTGCCGATTCAGAAAATTATTCTAGAAAGAACAAACCAATAATACTAGGGTATGAATGGTTAATCATGGTAGTACGTGGAATTTTTTTATACATTTCACATGTTCGTTTACCAATATATTGGTCAAACTGGTAGAAGAATTCATACGAGATTAAACGAACATGTAAAATGTACGAAAAAAATCAGAAATACTATTATTGACGAGGATTTCAATACCCAAAGTACATTTGCGAACCATGTGCTTAACTCTTAACACGCATTCAACATTATTACTGATTTGGAAATTTTAAATATTTGCCAGAAGGGTAGTTTGCTGAATCTGTTGACAATTTTTGAGAACAATTCATCTTTGAAGGACAAAAATATTCCTTCACTCAATGAACAAATCCATGTCGATTGCCAAAAACTCTTCAATACCTTGAGTTTCTGATGTTTGTGTTATAGTTTCCTCTTTCTTTGGTCTCCAGTGTAAGTTTTCTTTTCCAAATTCTTATAGTATTGTTAACCTAAGGTTGATCCCCCTACTATCTTCATATTCTAATGTCACTATCCACAAGTTTGTCATGATTTTCATGAAACCAATTGTCTCTTGTCATGCATCTTCGTTGACAGCTGAAGTTACAGTTGTCTGTCAGAGTTGGGTTTGACATTGATATTTGGTCCCATGGTATCAAGCTAATCCAGCGAGATCAAGATGATAAAGTTTTTTTTATTTTTGGATGCTTTTCGGCCTCCTAATGTGGCGATACCACTAGCTCATCATGGCACAGGGCCCTTGTTCAGAAAACCTGTTATAATAACAAAAGTTTGAATTTCCATAAACTTATATTTTTATTATTTATATTTTATATTTCATTTGTAACTTCATGTGATTTCAAAAACATTTCTTTTGCCTCACGTGAATACTACCATGTTTTACCATTGATACCCTATTATTGTTGGTTTGTTCTTTGCAGAATAATGTTCTCAATCGGCTGATGATGGATACTCTATTAATCCGAAACATGTCCCCTTTCTATTTATGATTTCATGATTGATGATATCAAATGTTGTGGAGACGACTTGGAATATTATTACTATATGAATGTGTTTGTTTTCACAGAGGTCCATATCATCGGAGGAGGACATAGTCATGGAGGAGGACATGGTCATGGAGGAGGGCAAGGTCATGGAGGAGGGCAAGGTCATTGGGGAGGACAAGGTCATGGAGCAGAACATGGTCATGGAGGAGGACAAAGTCATGGAGGAGCTGGACATGGCCATGGTCCTGGAGGCCATCGCCATGGAGGCGATTTCGGAGGCGGATTTGGAGCTGGTGGAGGTTTAGGACCAGGCCCCAGTCATGGAGGTGGAAATGGAGGTAGCTACGGCCCCGGAGGAGGATTTGGAGGAGGTTCTAGCCATGGAAGTGGTTCTGGTGGTCACGGTCATGGTCCTGGAGGTTATTCGGGCGATTCAGGCAGCTATGGTGGCCACAAGGGCTCTTCTTCTGCTAGTTCGTCGGCCGCATCATCTGGAGCTGTTGCTGGAGCATATTCCTCCGCTTCTGCACATTCCTCCGCTTCAGCACATGCCTCCGCTTCAGCACATTCTTCTGCTAATGCTGGCAGCTAGTAAGTTCAGCATTTTCTCTCTTTGATTCTATATCGATGCAGATATAATTGGAGCAGTTATAAGTGGGTGTAAACCTCCTGCTATATTATTATTTTCATGATCCTCATAGCACTGGATTTTTTAACTGATTTTTTGTTAATCGTATGATTGATATTATTGTTTTTATTACAGTGCAGGATGAGAAGAACTGAGCTTGACTGAGTATGGATCCCATGCAGAGATTATTCTACAGTTTGAGTTACTTTCCGGATGAATGATAAGTCGAATAACGATAATAAATAATTTGACAAAAACGTGTTTGGTTTTCCTCGTCACCCTTGACAACTTCGAATAGGAAGAAGTATATGCACTTATTGAAATTAAGAATCAGGAACTTGTTCCTCTGCAATTTCCTTGAAATGTTTCGATAAATCTCTCAGATCTTGACGATATGATGATCTTGATAGGCAATGCAATATATTATACTGTGAAAACGTAAGGGTTGGTGTATTGAAAAGGAATATTCTCAGATATACTTATAAACACAAAAAAATGGACATATATGAAGAAACACATTGGAAATTCGCATTCTCCATGTGATGGAAATATTAACTTGGTAGAAATATATTCATTAAAACGTTGATATGGCCAGTGGGGAAAAAAGCTCAGACATTTCGATTTTCTTATTCAGTTGCACATTCTTTGGTCATAATCATAATTTTTTCAGAAAGACAATACCTCATTTTGATAATACCTTCAAGTTGGTGTGATTTTTCTGTTTGTGTTCCTGTATTTTTTTCTAAAATAACATAACCGTATGCTCGAGAAATATACTGCCCCATAGTTGAAGTGAGACAAGCAGAAATTTCTATCATCTTCCAATAGTCATAACTTTGGATTGGATCAATCAATTTCCAAATTCTCTCGAGATTCTACGAGCTCCTTCAATTGAGCACAACGTCAGTACTTTTTTGTTATTTCACCTTCCCAATATGAAGACCTACAGGATGACATCTAAAAATGTGATAATTTTCGAGGAGTTTGAGATTGCCCCCATTGGCAGGGAGTTTTTTTTTTCAAATTCCATTGAGGGCGATAAGATTAAGCATAATGAGTTTTCTCGTAATGTTTTTGGATTCAGGAGGATTCATACAGGATGTTTTGATATATTGAATGTTTCACAATATATGGCATTCTGATATGTTCAACCAACATAAACTCAACTTCAACAGAATTTTAGATCAGCTTTTTCTGCTCAACGCTATCACTATACAATGTGTTACATTTCCTAGTATCATCGAATTTTTCAGACAAGCCATGGTTTGCAGAGTTCCGAACACTGAAAAAAATACAAAAAATACCAAAATACCAAACGTTTTGTAAAATAGACGCAGCACACTACATTCATCTAATAATACCACTACAAAATCGTATAATATATTACCACTACAAAATGGTAGTAAATATAGTATAGTATAGTATGATACGATTTTGTTGTGGTATTATTCGATCAATCTGGTGACTAGCGCCTATTTCACTAAACGTTTGGTATTCGCTACCGACTATTTTTTCTCTGAGTGAACGTATGAGATTCAAATTTGGCAGCGGTGTATGATTAACGACCCCAACTTTTGATTTTCAAATGGAAAACCCTGCATTTTATTCCATAATCGGTTGGGAATTACCAAAAGTATTGAGCAACTGGAACTACAACTTCCCTATAACACAATACATATCCTGATACCTAACAACATTCACACTCTCTCAAAATAACAAACGTGAAGCGACGCTTAATCATAATACCGCTCCATGTCGATTTGACGTATCATTTTTTCATCAAAAATATTGTGTTAATAATCATCAACTGAGGCATTTTTTTCTAAGAAAATCGTTGGGTAAGGATCCTGAAAGTTGCTGGAGCGAGAGATATACCAAATATGCACTCAATCACCAAGTGGGGTCATCTTCAGTGATTTACACTGCTCACCAACAGCCATGGAACCACCCCAATTTCCGGAAAATGATATTAGGAGTCGAAATAGGTTGAATATCACTTCGGATTCGGAATCAGAAGCTTAATCCACTAACTATTCATTTTTTCCCTGAAAATTGTTCAGTTCTGAAAAATTCATTTTTGTCTCACTTTTCATGGAAACACACCCGTCATAGTAATCTATGCCCCCGCATACCAAAAATGTACTCTATGACCAAGTGGAGTCATCTTAAGTGATATACACTGCTCGCCAACTGCCGTGGACCTACACACCGGAAAATAATATCAAGAAACAAGATAGGTTGAATACTATATTAACAAATTCATTCATGAGTCATTTCAATGACACCCGTCATGATTTCTGATCCATTGGATCACTTCTGATAATCTATTCGATTGTACTAGTTCAGATTGCTATTTCGTTATTCCTGATAAGAACTGACCTCATGATTATCAATTTCAGAACAACATTTGAATGCTCCTACTTGGTCATTGGTATCTTTCTTGGTCTTAGAACTTTCAGACTCCTACATCAATAATAACGTAAGATACTGGGGTGCTTGCATGAAAAGTGAGACAGAATTTATTATTTAAGAACTGAACATTCTTCAGAAGGAATATGAGTAGTTAGTGAATTAGATGTTCTGTTTCCTGTTCTCGAATCTGAAGTGATCTTCAAACTATCTGGTCTGGTAATATGATTTTCCGAGCATGTAAGTCGATTTAAGTGGTTCCATGGCTGCTAGCGAGCAGAGTATATCACTGATGGTAATTTCAATTGGTCCAATCCTAACTCGACAATTAGGTAAGATACGGGAGTGTTTCCATGGAAAGTAAGACAAAAATGGAATTTTCAGAACTGAATCAAGAATAATATGAATAGGTAGGGAATCGGGCGTCCTGATTCCGAATCCGAAGTGATTTTCAACCTATTTCGACTCCTAATATCATTTTCCGGAAATTGGGGTGGTCCAATGGCTGTTGGCGAGCAGTGCATATCACTGAAGATGTCCCCCACTTGGTCATAGAGTGCATTTTTGGTATATACCTCTCGCTCCAGAAAATTCCAGGATCCTTACCCAACGAATACGTAAGATACAGGGTTGTTTCCATTAGAAGTGAGACACACTATATAAAAGAATATTCCGTTTGTTTGTGAGAAGAGTTCAAAGTTTACATAAATAAACAAATTTTTGTACGCTGTTCAAAAATGAGTGATACAAATTGGATGAAATTTGACAAAAGTGCATTGCAGAGGATAACCATTCTTTCAGTGATCGAAGAAACCCGAAAAAAATTGTAGAAGAGTTGAAACCACCCTCACCTCCTGAAATTTCTTTCAGAACATTCTTAGGGGTGGTAATAGCAAAGAAATAGGGTACTCAAATTCTTCGAATGAGATGACTGATTAATTATATCCATTTTCTTACATCAGTGAAAATTTCGTATTCCGCATAGCTCCGAAGGAAAAAGATGTTTTCTTGAATAATGCTAACAGATATTCCTAGTAAAAGTTAAATATCATTGTAATAAAAAGTGTAGTTGACAGTGGAAAAAGGGGCCACCTTCATCAATACATATGTCAATTCCTTCGTTTTCACTGCCAACTAATTGTGTATTACAATTTTATCAAACTTTCACTAGGAATATCTGTTACCATCATGGGCGGATCCAGGAGGGGGGCCATGGGGCCATGCCCCCCCCCCCCCCTCAAGCACCTCATGGACATGTAAAAATGTAGGTATTTTGAATAAATGAAAAAATTAGTGCATGTCTTTATAGCTAGAAACTTCGCAACAGCTTTAAGGAATTGCGAATTTGTAATTACACTCTGCTGTTTGGCAAATATATTTTCGATAACACTGCCACTTAGTAATTTGCTCCAAACAAAAAACAAGCTAACGATGTTGTTAGTATCACTCTTCAGACGCTTCCAGATAAAAGGGATGATATTCTAAATACCTACTATCTAAGTATTTCGAATGCAGCCAAACAGAAATTGAAAGAACTGAATGTTGAATTTTCGATGCTGAGAATAACAAGGAGAATGGTTCATAGACCAAATACGGTTTCCTCAGTGGATGACCATTACAGAATAACTGTTTTCATTCCAGTATTATTATTGATCTGGAAGAAGGAATATCAGAAAATGAATAATTGAATCTATACAACCTTCACCTTTGTGTGCCATCTCAATAACTAAAAACAAAACAGATGAGGAAATTTATGAGTTATGGGAAATATACTTGAACAGTTTTGGGGAGAATAATGAAATGTCCTTCCAGAAGATCGTTTCTGAAATGTATATATGGAAGAAAATGAGGGATACTAAGCAAAATATACCAAACAATGGTATAACTGCCCTGAAAGAATGTAACAAACATTTGTTTCCTAACATAAACATCCTTCTGGAACTATTTTGTTGCCTACCTGTAAGTGTTGCATCTTCTGAAAGAAGTTTTTCAACACTCAGAAGGCTGAAAAATTGGATAAGATCCAGAATGGTCCAAGACTGGTTAAATGGATTGGCATTAATGCATATTCACAGGGGCATCTGCAGCAGTATGAATGTTGATGATATCATCTAAAGATAAGCTAGGCAGAAGAATAGAATACTGGAATTTGTTTTCTTTGTTTTATATATATTCTTATTTTTGTCTGTTTCATTTGTTTTATTTTCGAAGAGAAATATTTTCATTCACTCTTGTACCCAAGTTTTTCAACAGAAATATTTTTTCATTCACTTCTTTTATCCAATATGATATATTACAGTATTCTACATACATTGATGGAAAATTTATTTACACCAATAATTTCGATGTTTACTGTGATCAGTTCTTTCAATGAAAAAGCATTTGTTTCATATAATTTCTCTTCCACGCTAACCTTATTGAGCCGTGACTTTCTATGCCCCCCCCCCCTCAAACATCGTCTAGATCCGCCCCTGGTTACCATCCTCAGGAATGTTGAAAAACATTTCAGGGGGTGAGGGGGGTTTCAACTCTTCTACAATTTCTTTCGGGTTTCTTCGATCACTGAAAGGAGGGTTATTCTCTGAAATGCACTTTTCTCAAATTTTATCCAATTTGTTTCACTCAAATTGGAACAGCGTAAACAAAAATATGCATTTCTATGGAAACTTTGAACTCGTCTCAGGGACAAACGGTTCATTTTGTTATATAAATGAATTGGGCCCAATCAACTCATTCTGACCTATATCACAAGTGGTATAGCTCTAAGTCCCAGCAATTTTAGAACACTCTGTATATAAAGTAATACATTGATAATTCGCATTCTCTATGTGATGGAAATAATAATTCTCGGTATATTCAACAGAAAACAAGTACTATTTCTTCGTAGTATTTCAGTTTATTTCTTCATTCACCATATTTAAAAATGTACAACACATTGTAATGGTGTTGAAGATATGCCAATCTAAAATTCTGCTGAAATCGAGTTCATGATGGAACATATCAGAAAGCGATTTGTTGAGAAAAATTCCATATATCAAAGCCATTTCGAGGAAAATCATTATCCTTCATTTTATAAAACATTTAAAAAAAATTCCTGTGTAATGGGTCGAACCCAAACTTTTCGAAATTCATCACATATTCAGATATCCCCCTGTAGGTCATTATGTCGGGAAGGTGGAATAACAAAAAAGTACTGAAGTACTCAATGAAATGAGTTATTACAATCTTGAAAGAATTTTAACACTGATTGATGCAATCCAAAGTAATGACGGATCGAGAATTATAGAAATGTTTGCTTGTCTCACTTCAAATGTAGGGCAATGTAGAAGAGATTTTATTTATAATAATGTGAAATGTGATTCAAATAAATGACAACAGAGCTAGCTAAACCTACGAACAATTGCGTAGATGAAAATGACAATCGACGAGTTCAAGCTTTCTCCCCAATGGCAAATCAAATCAATAAGATTTAACGAATTTATTCCAACCTTTACTTGTTCTTGGTAGTATTAACGCCGGAATTTTCATGCAAAAAATATTGGGAATTAATATTTCCACTGACTCGACCAATATTTTTAGCAGTAGGTACTTACACTTTCAGTTAGCATTGTTAATGCGAAAAATATTTACATAAAATGATTTGTGCAAGTTCGAGGTCACTTTTTTGTACATCTAGGAAATCCATTAACGGTTTGGCAGCTGACAAGAGGATTGCAAACAATTTAATAAAGGCCAGTACCAGTGATTCGCAAATTAAAATGATGCTTATTATCATGACGTAATGCTTCTGACCTCACAAAGCAAGGTATAATCAAGAAAAAAAAATCCTATTTGTTTCGATCAAGATGCTCTCATATAAAAAGACCACTAGCTGAGATCAAATCATTAGTGAAGATGAGGTGGTTATTTGTGGTAGCTGTTGCCATTATTGGCTATGTGGGAAATGCAGAGAGTAAAGCTGTGGTAAGAGTTGAAAAATATATTTTTGTTATCGAGTTTCGATGTATTTCACTTCTAGTGAAAAACGACCGAATACTTTTTATAATAATAGGTATTTTGCGATTTTCGAGAATTAACTGATATACAGGGTGATTCACATAAGAACCGACATAGAGCAGGGGCATGTAGGGGGGCCCAAAATATGGCAATTTAACGCAACTTACCTCTATACCATGTTGCTTCCCTAAGGAGATATAGGCTTTGAAAGTGAAGTTATAAATTTTGAAAAAAATCAATATCTTCGTTATTCTTGAACTTAAAGCAACCAAATTCATTACACTTTGTGGATGTATTCAGGGCGTTACTTGACAGTAACTAGAGTTTAATTGAAATTAGTAAAGGGGGTATACCGGGTGGCGCACCATCAATATTCAACATAATTTTGTTAACCCTTGATGGATTTCAGAAATCTTTGCTCTGTTTTGTGGGCAATTCAATTCTAAAACTTTTCTTACTCTAGTAATTTTTCGAAAAACCTCATCATTTTCATCAAAAACTCGAATAACTGGAAACGCGCGCTCTAGGTGTGTTATTTAAAATCATCGAAAATTGAAAAGTTGGCTATGAAAATAATCGTCAAACTTGACAATGAGGCAAGTGAGTTGTTCAATTAAGTAATTGTTGTTTGAGTGTTTTTAAAATGAACGGGAAGTTTTCTTTTAACGAGCCGGATTGGCTTGCATAAAGTGGCATTTGAGCGCCCCAGCGCGATAAAGGGATACAGGGTGATTCACCATAAATGTCCCCCCCCCCCTCTGGCTCAGTTATTTTCGAACCGATCTCAAAATTTAAGGGATCATTTGAAATGATTTTTCAATACATCAGGAAATACAGTGTGCTCGGAACAAACGATCTACAGGGTACTAGTTAATTTTTTTGAAATGGGACACCTTTCATTTTTATATTCTCCCTGAAGAGCTGATTTCATCAATGTATCGCACTTGGGGACTAGCTGAAACATTTATAGAGATATATTTCTTAACATTGTGATTTTTTTGTGTTAAAACTATGTTTTATTGGTCGAAACGGCTTACAAGTCCCTATCTCAACTTTTGATTCACCATCTATTTACACTTAATTGGAGCAAATGCAGGGTGGTTTGAGATTCAAGATTTCTGATCACCCTGTATCTATTTTAATTGAATTTCAGTAGATAGGTAGTAAAACAAACGTTGAGATAGGAATATGAGCCGTTTCGACTGATAATGAATATTATAAAAATTTTTGATTCTTAACACCCAATATCTCTGTCATCATTTTCGCTAGACCCCAAGTGTGATGCATTGATGAAATCAGCTCTTCAGGAAAAATTTTAAAAGGCAATAGTATACAAGGTGTCCCATTTAAAAACACCCATCATCAGCCGATATCTTGGAATTCGAACATCCTATAGATATGAAAATAATTTCAGGTGATAGCTCTGATTAAATCCTATAAATGTTGTTTTCGAATAATTTTCATTCACCTGACGGTTTGGCAAATATCGAAGGAGAACACACTATTGACTCTCCCTGTATAGACACTAAGGCAAACCAAACAACACATAACAATGCCCTTTCTCGAATTTTTCATTTGATCTATGTATTTTTATCCTAACAGAATCGAGAGAGGAGGAACCTCGGCAAATCGTCTGGACACGGAGGTGGATTTGGAGGTGGTGGAGGAGGAGGTGGAGGCGGAGGATTTGGAGGAGGAGGTGGAGGAGGCTTTGGAGGAGGAGGCGGATTCGGAGGAGGCAAAGGAGGCGGTGGTGGATTCGGAGGAGGTGGAGGACTAGGAGGAGGCAAAGGAGGCGGTGGTGGCTTCGGAGGGGGTGGAGGACTTGGAGGAGGTGGAGGATTTGGAGGAGGTGGAGGACTTGGAGGTGGCAAAGGAGGCGGTGGTGGATTCGGAGGAGGTGGAGGACTTGGAGGAGGTGGAGGACTTGGAGGAGGTGGAGGACTTGGAGGTGGTCACGGACACCAGGGTGGTCACCAGGGAGGTGGATTCGGAGGGGGTGGGCATGGAGGTGGCAGTCATGGGGGTCAAGGTCACCAAGGGGGGTATGGAGGAGGTGGTCACGGTCATCAAGGGGGACATGGAGGAAGCGGTCATGGACACCAGGGAGGATATGGAGGGAATGGAGGAGGAAACTATGCCCAAGCTCAAGCATCTGCATCAGCTGGATCATAGTGAGTTTACTTTCACTTGGAATTATATGATTTGCAATTCAATCACAACACCTTTATATTTTTTGGCATATCAAGTTTGAATGCATATTTATTTTTCATTGACAAGTCCCCAAAAGAAAACTATTTCATTCATTTGAATCATTATTATTTCAGTTCTGAATGATGATCATGATTTATTCTTATGATTTCTACTATTAAATTGATACATTAATCTGGTGGTGGTTTCTGATTTTGGGAGGAATTGGAAATAGTAATTTTCATAACAAGTGCGGAAAATGATACATTCCCGAACGTGATTGCCGTTGACCCAAAAGAAGCGAAGTGGAGTTCGGGCAAGTAGTCGAGTGTGGGAAAGACACTTTCCGCGTGAGTTAGGAACAATATTTCTTCTACCACAAGCGTAAGAGATAAATGGCAGATAGAAACAACTAGCAAGAGTAAAATATTCTTGAGGCAATTCCAATGAACTGAATTAAAAATGACAGTAACGCTGTGTCTGTCACTTCTACAAACATCTCAACTCCGACAATCACAAACTAATATATTCTACACTTGTCTATTACTGCTTCATAACACCTTGACAACGGTTGCTATTAAAGACCCATAATGCCCTAGGGCGTTTGGGAAGGCATTATGGATCAAAATGTACACAAGTAATCAATTATTTCATCTCAAATAGAAATTACAATTTTCAAATGTTCCTGAAAAATTAATAACAAGTTTGAAGTTCTGTGAGTTGACCGATGATGAACTCCTCAATGTGCATTCGGTTCGTTCGGAACGTTAACATTTTCTTTTCCGGAAACGAAATGGGCTATCATTGTAGCAATTTTGTTATTCGAGGAGATACTTCCTTCAATATAGCTCTGCACTACCGGACTACTCTGCCATTTTCTATGTAATTTTAGTGTTTCAGAGGTAGCACCACCTTGAACATGAAGCGTTGACAATGTCCGGTGTAACCTTTCTGCTTTCCCAAATCAAGGTATTCCTATAGTAATTTTCCCCTCAAGTAAATCCATGCATTCATTATTTCTCCAGGTTAGAAAACCTACATTGTTTACATCCTTTCGGTCGTAGTGCAATGAACTCTTTAACTAGGTTCAAGACTCCTATTTCGCTTCCTTCGCCAATGGTGAAACTCTTTGAGGTGCAGGTCTTGGTTTCTGGTACCTTGATCTGGTACCTTGATCTGGTACCTTGATCGATAAAACGGCTGTCTCCCTGTCTTCAATGTCATCAATTGTCATCTCGAAGCCTTCAAATACACCCATTACCAGAGCAACTTCATGTATCATCTGAAGCTCCTCTCATGAAAAGTAATACTTGTCCACCTTCTAACACCTTTGATATTTTAGGAATGTATCCTTTTGATTCATCTTTCAGAAAGGCCATCAGTTGACTGTATGCTGATATATTAATGTTTCCTCCAACAATCAATGTTGATTTCAGATGGTCGTGTGTAGTCCATAGAGTATTTGCACTATATTTTTGAGACTCAAATTAATGTGAAATAAATAAAAGATGATAATATTCTTCATGAGCTAAACTCTCCAGTTCCTGGAAATATGCCATCAAGACAGTTTCATTTACGGTATTCACTCTGCTTTCATTTTTCCATTTCAAAAAATGGCCAAACTCCTTCTCCTATATAAGTATTTGGATTTCAAAGGGCAGTGAATTTCCTTACGCTGTTTCAGCTTTGAGCGTCACATTCTGTGGGATCTCCATAATTATTATGAACACAACCGTTTTTTGATTCCTCCACTAACAAGGTTGTAAATTCTAACAAAAATGCAGCGTCGTTTTAACAACCATTAGCAACCTCTTCAATGATTCCAAAGCAACTGCATAGAAGCTCACTAGTGCTCAGTTGCCGACCAGAACGCAGTAAATACTATGAGGAGGAATTTATGAAGTGAACAACGTCGTTTAAGATAATTTTTTCGTGAAAAATAAAATATTGTATGCACCACGAACGTTACTAGATCTATATAATGCACTTGGTACATAAATAACTGTTGTGGTTTGATTGGCATGACAACAATAGTTGACAACATCAGATCGATCCAGGTCTATAGGAGAATCTTTGTAACAATTGATGTTTATTTTTCAATATTTCTTAATTTCCAGTAGTGCCATTTGATGGATGATTCTGAACGAACATACTTAATAATGCAACTAACAAGTTCAAACTTTCATATTCCATCACCAACCACTTATATCTTGGCGATAATATCATATCATTGTTTTTTCCGCACTAGTATGGAAAAATTTTTCTCGTAATGTTGCGGAAAAATGACACTTCCCAAACTCAATTGCGTGCGGGTATAGGGTGAATCACGCACGCTTGTAGAAAAACAAAGTTTCATGGCATATTATGAATCTATTGAGCTGAATAAAATTGAATATTGATATTGTTATTTGTTTCAGTGGCAAGTATTAGTTACGAAACAGAGGGCTGACAACTTTGGACTATATCTAGTTGAAAATTATTGTGATTTGTATATTTCTATTAAAATTTTGCACTTAAATTGATGTAGTGTGCTGATTTTCTATACCTCCATTCCTAACCTTATCAAGTGGAATAGTATGTATACAGGGTATCAATTAATGATCGTAGCATCGTATAGTGGTCATTGAAAGAGCCAGTCTCTTCTTATGTTGTTTTAATGCATTGAATTGTCATAGTTCTATCTCCATAGGAGGAAAAGCGGCAAATCTATTGAATATTTCAACGTTCAATAGACATTTATAGAGACCCTGATATCTGATAGTTGAAAAATCCTGGCTGGCAAATAATAGATGACATTGCTAATTGTTTAAATGGTCTGGAAATCCCCATATCATATCAGATCTCAATAATAAAGTCGATTATGATTCAGCTGCTGAAATTGACTTTAACCTACTGACTTACTGACACAATAAAATGATAAGTGTTTTTTTTTACTCGGCCGTAAACTTGAGTTTATTGTACCAGTATTTCACGTGAACATGTCATGTGATTGAGAATTTTGTGAAAATCTCATCGAAGGTTCCGTTTTGTCGGTGGAAAACAAAGTTTTCTTGCTGTCATAATGACACAACCTCACTTTTCTGTGAAACATTGGAACACAACCTCACTTTTTCCATTTGTTTACAGATGTATCAAAGGAATGCAATAGATTTTCACAATATTTTGGTATGCGAATCGTGTTTTTTGCGCTATTCATTAATTTAAGCATGCCTCCTCTTTGTGCTGTTGTACAATACACAAAAAACGCAGCGAGAGACGAAGGAACATGATTTTTCTGGTAAATAGTAATCTCACATAGATTTTATTATGAAATTTTGTCATTTCCTATCAAAATTCCTTCTACCACTTCTGCAATGGTAGCTAATACTGCTAATATATTGAAAATGTCTACAACACACACGATCATATTCCGTCAGCATGTCAAACCAGTCCTCCCATTTGATTGCATTAATCTAATCTACTTGCATTATTTTAGAAATTTCACGAGTATTTCTATAAGCTCCTATTGCAGAAGGAATTCCGATGAGCAATCAGAAAAATCATCAAATTTCAAAATGAAAACTACATGTGAGTGACTATAGTAGGTACTTACTTTTGAATCATAATGTACCAACCGGATTCGTTCATCTTCCGCTGCATTTTTTGTGCATTGTACAACAGCACAATGTGATGGCATACGCGAAATAATGAATAGCCGAAAAACACGATTCGTATGCCAAAATGAACGTGAAAAACTATTTCAATCACTTGTTTACAAATAAGAAGAGTGAGGTTGTGTTTAAATGTTTCACCTCAGGGTCGGTCATCTGACAGTTCTTGCACACAACCCATAGGATTTTTGATAAATCTAGAATAACTTGTTCCTGCCAAAATAATTCACAATTCTCTGTATTGGGTCCCTGATGTTCTGAAAATTTTTCACATCCGAAATGTATCTTCTGCAATATTGAATTATCGACTAAAATTGGGCAAGAAAACACTCTTCAAGGTTCATTCAAGGGCGGTTATGATATAATTTATAGATACAAAGTTCTCTAATCCACCGGTTATTCCTCGTTTTTCGTGGCCCTTCGTTCTAAAGATCGATGCCATTCATTTTATAATTTGAATTGAATGGATGAGGCAACGAATGCAGTCGTCATTCGCAGAAAATCCTAGTCAGATGTTATTTTCTTTCATCCATTTAATTGGGAAAGTCTTCCGAATTCAATTACATTCCAGATTCCAGCAACGAATTGATGTGACGACCGATAAAACAATGAGTCTTTTGTCGATTGGAATTGGAAAAGAGGGATCTCTGGTAAATTATTAGTTTTATTCTTGGTTTCTTCTAAAAATATGCCAGTCGAAATCAACAATGAATAAACAAAACATGATGTATCTCTGATTTTCTAGTATGTTGTTTGGACCCATCAGGGTAGTGTATACCCAAGTTTGCAACTCTCAAAAAGTTGTGGAAAAAGTGTAGCACACGAAAAACTGCGATACTTTCGGACTTTCTTCAGTGTTTGCTCTATATCTCCTAAACTATGAATTTTTCGACAAAAAATGTTATATACATTTTTGAAGAACATCAAATGTTCAACAATGTCAATCCAAGCGAAGCTCTGTAGGTTGATTATTAACGAAACTACGGTACTTCGAATATAGTAAATTTTTTTCAGGAAGTGAAAGTTTCAGTTCTGGACCTACTTTAGACCAAAATTGCGGCCAAACTATTGATGCTACAGGTAAAACTTATGTGATAAAAGTTGTAGAAAATTTCATCAACTTTGAATTCAGCACACAGTGGGGTCTGTGGGTCATTCTCTCAAAATCCTATATAAGATAATATCGCATTTTTTCAGATATCTACCAAATCACTGTTCTGTTGCATATAGGAATTCTGAACATTCACCTATTTCAAAGATTTGGGTCAGAGCAGAACTCCAAATTGAATAAATTGTAGGTAGGTACCAATTTCATAAGTCAATGTATGATGGCGCCCGAAAGAGCACAGAATTTGCAGAGCGATCACGACAGTATATTCAAAGTACCGTAGTTTCATTGATAATCAACCTACAGAGCTCTGTTTGGACTCAAATTGTTGAACATTCGATTTTCTTCAAAAACATAAATCAAATTTTTTGTAGAAAAATGCATAGTTCAGAAGATATAGAGCAAAAACTGAAGAAAGTCCGAAAATTTCGCAGTTTTTCGTGTGCTACACTTTTTCCACAATATTTTGAGAGTTGAAAACTTGAGTATACACTACCCTAATGGGTCCACAAAACATATTGAAAAATCAGAGATACATCATGTTTTAAGAATTTAGCGATTTTTTGTGTCGATTTTGGCTGGCGTAAAAAATAATGTAATTTTTTCTAAGCAAATAAGATCGTATAAAGCAACATCACATTGATGAAAATGCAACTACCAAAGTGTTTTTATCATTGATTATTGTTCCTATATCTTTTATTTTTTTACTAATTTTTGTTGTTTCGTATATCAGAAACATGACTGTTTTTTTTATCACAAACTTTGGTTCACACGTTTAATAAAAATGTATGTGAAACGTCCAAATACCCATATATACAGGCCAATCCGTGTCGTCACGATCAAACAGGAGATCCTAATTATCGTCACGGAGGTGGACGACAGAGGAAGACTTCTGCAAGAAATGATAATTTCTTATAGTTAAAATTCGAAAAGCCATATGTTTTTCAAAATTGCATATCTCAAGACATCCTGCATGGATCTTGATGAATCCGAAACCATTTCGAGAAAACACATCAGGCTTCATGTTTTTGCAGTCAGGAAAAAATTCGTAAAATCATCCTATATACTAACGAAGCGACCTCAAACTTTCATAAAATTATCACACTTTCGGATATCATCCTTTAGGTCATGTTTCCAAAAAGGTGGAGAAATGTAAGAGAATTATGTAATGCTGAATTGACTGAGCAATCCGAATCCCGAAAAAAATCGGTTGATCCAATCCAAAGTTATAACGGGTCGAAAACAAACAAAATATTCGCTCGTCTCACTTCAAATGTGGAGCAGTTTACGGTAGCTGCAATATTGTCAACACAAATGTTGGAAATCCTTGAGATTCCTGGTAGACAGTCGAATTCATAACAAAAAGTATCCACAATGGTATTTATGGGAAAGATTCATTACTCCATGCTGAAAGGGAATATCATGATTCTGACCTTTTTCTGAATAATTTTGAAGTACCCATCCATTTCGTTTCCCCAATAAAAGTTTTCGAGCCACATTAATCATACAAGTACCAAGACCCAACTAAAAGTAGACATCCTGACGTATAAAGGTGAAGGCATTAATTTCCTGAAATATTGGTAAAACCTTTCGATCAAATGTTCAAGTGAATCCCAATAAAATATTAAATTGTAGGTTGTTCAAGGTCTTTGGATGTGTTGGAACACTCTTTGAAGTCCATCAAAGTTGCAATAATACACCTCTGTTTGTGATACCTTTATACGTCTGTAGAAAATAATATCAATTTCGTATATTTTCTTAAAAAAACTTTCAGAAAAATCAATCAATCGATGTCTCACCATCAGAATTTCATTTTTATCTCTCAATCACATTTTGACATTTTTTACAGGTTATTCCTTGAATATAATGAATTCTCTTAATTCAATAGTGAACCACCATTGTCATGAGCATAATGAAAATAGTCAGAAGGGTCTTTGTAAATTTTTTGCATCCAACAATAGTATCAATCGCTCTCAAACTTCCTAGAAATATCTGAAGCAAATAATAATGTTATTCATGATTATTCACAGCAAACATTATAATCGGTACACGAAATACTTATTGAATGCTGATTATATCTGACATAATATACCAGATGATACATGAAAATATTTCTTGAATTTGTTGTCTAACAGTCAGCTATACAGGATGTAATATGATTGATGGCTAAAAATATAGAATATGATCCATCAGCTCATTTTTGGAAGCTGAAATTAATACCTTCTTTTGGCAAATGCATCATATTTAGAAATAACTTTTATGTGAGTTGTTATAGAATTGTAAATTCTTGGAGCTGACCTCGTAATGAATCTTTGGTTACCGTCTTTTCTGTAAAAAGGAACAATTCAATTCTGGTTGGATATTTGCCTAGTTTGGTATGTATGCTCAACTTTTGTTTGTAAGTCCTTGTTTTTATATATTATTAGGAAATTAGTGCTGGTGTATGCAATTTGATCCACTTAACTCAAATCAATATCGTGGTTTAATAATTGAAATCATGTTGAAGTCTTTCTCGGCTACTGATGGATTTGTTTTCAATGAATTTTTGATATGACATAAATACCTGTTATTGTTGTAGATTTAATAACTTATCGATAAAATGCATCATACACACGATTACTTGCAATTAAACATAATTTTCTAGCTCTTTTCGTGCAACAGCTTGAAAAAATTGCCTGAAGCGAATCAAGGGGATATTCCTGATTATGCAAAGTTCCGTTGTTCACTAAGAAAACAAAGCAATTCAATTCAATTCGACTGCAACCGT